GTGCACCTACTTCTCTATGCGCTTGTCTGTTGTCATCCTATATAATAAAAGCGTAGTAAGCAAAATGTCCCCTCGACCGGGAGTTGTCCGGGAGTTCAAGCAGGGGGTGGGGCTGGCTGGGGGAAGGGAGGGGACCCTGGCCGGCAGTGGGTAGCTGTTAGAGACCCTACCAGTGCATGAATGTCATGCACTGGGCCTCTAGTTCTTTATAATCTTGTCTATTGTGATAGCCGCCCCCCCCACAAAAAATATTGTTTTTGTTTGCATTTCTTTGATTTCTAGTGATTTTGAAAATGTTTTCATACTTTTGGTATTTTTATTCTCAATAAATTTTCTTGAGTGTCACTTTTAAAAATATCTTACCTATTAAAATATGAAAATATTTAGATTTAACTATATTTTTCCTAGTATTTGCACTATTTAACCACTGATTAAAAACCATTTTATCATATGCTAAATTTATTGTATTTTTCTAGATATCATATATTATTCCTTTGATGACCTATTAATTCTCTTTTTTACACCATATTGTTTAGACTTCTGTCAAATCAAATACTTGTTTTCAGTAAATCTGCATTGGGAGTTTGATTGGGATTAAGTTGGAGGAAAGATATATTTCAATATTAACTCTTCCTATTTATTCAAGGACATGATGTAGTTCCACATTGCTTCTTAAGTTTCATAAACTTTAAAGTCCTTCCTAATAGCTATAGCTGATTAACATTCTGAAATATGCATGCTCTTCTCTTTCAGTTTTTAGCAAGTTGGAAACTTAATTAATATGTGAATACCTTTATTGAATAATTCATCTGTTTAACCAATGGTTAAAAAACATTTTATTGGTACTAGGTAATTGTTATGGACTGTTCCCCTTAAAAATTTATGTTGAATCCCTAAATCCACCCTCACTCACAGTGTGATGGTATTTGATTTGGAGATAGGGCCTTTGGGAGCAAATTAGGGTTAGATGCGGCCATGAGGGTGAGGGCTCTATGATGGGATTGGTGCTCTTGTAAGAAGAGATACCCAAGAGTTTGGTGTCTTCTCTCTCTCTCTCTCTCTCTCTCTCTCTCTCTCTCTGTGCGTGTGTGTGTGTGTGTGTGTGTGTGTGTGTGTGTTTTGGCACAAAGAAGTCACGTGACTATCTATAAAGCAAGGGGTGAACCCTAACCATAAACTGACCATGCTGGCACCTTAATCTCAGACATCCAGCCTCCAGAACTGAGAAAATAAATTTCTGTTGTTTAAGCCACCCAGTTTATGGTGTTTTGGTATTTTGTTATGGCAGCCCATGCAGACTACTACCGTGTTTATATTACTTAGTCTCCCCCAAGCTCTGGGTTACCCTTGGCTTCACAGCCCAAGAAAATAATACAATTGAATGAACTAATGTGGTGACTGAAAGGGCTACTTTGTGATGAATACTTATTTTATTGAATTGCTTTGCACAATGATCAAGTCAGGAAAAACGAAGATTTCTAAGTCACCTTATTCCCTCATTCAAAATGGAAATAAATGTTTAGTTCTACAGATAAATTGCATGTTTCTAGAAATGTTAGCCTCCCTATTTTATTGCACAGAAGAATCCCAATAAGAAAATCGGTCATTGATGTTTAGTGACCACAATGTTAATACTTGGGCATATCTGGAAGTAGGAACGAAAGCACCTTTCTAGCCATTCCCTATAGTTGTGGAACATTTTAGAGTTTGCTAAATGTCTTCATATGCAAAATTTTCTTTCCTCAAAAGAAATTCAAATGGTGTGTCAGTCTCATTTTATGGATGAAGCAAACAGTTCAGAGAAATGAAATGTCTTTTGCAAGCATAAAACTAGGGCTAAAAGTAATTTAGTCCATTGAGTGAGATTATTTTCTGAGAACTTATTGTGTGCACACTATGGTCCCCAACCTAGTCTTTTATCTCCTGTGGTGGTAGGATCTCCCAGCATCTGGTGTAGCTTCTTGGCTGCCTTAGGCTGCACTGTCCTTAGCTCAGGGAGCTCATGGTGCTCCCAAAGATCCAGCCCATCACCAGACTCTGAATCTTCGAGGCAGCCGATATGTGGTGCTGCCACTCTTAAGGGGCAAATCTCTCTCTGCCAGTCTCTCCCGAGTCCCTGTTGGACCAGTGATTGAGAAGGGCTTCTCTTGACATGTGAGGTGTTTGCTCGGGAAGCTCTCCTTTAACTCTGCCCTCCCCTAGTTTCCCCCCCTCCCAATTATTCTGCTTTGTATTCAGTAAAAGCGATGTTTGACCTTTAACCTTAGGTCCAAAGGAGAAGCCAGGCAACATGAAACCCACAGGCCTTGATTTACTCATTGTCCTACTTTATCCTGAACCAAACCTTTCACTAGCAGTTCAGTAGCCCATTGGTAGTGAAATAATGTCCCAAATTCAAGATTTGTTGCTTGATGAAGTAGAAAGAAGCAAAAACCTTATTGAAACAGTAGGAAATTATAAGGCAAGAAACAATGGAAATAATGCCACATTTAATTGAAAAACAGGTGAAAAGACAAGTGGCATTTAGTTCCAACTTGCATTGATTGTATAGAGAAGATAAATCAGGAGCAAGGTATGCAGTGCAATCCTCTATGTCCTAGGACAAATGAATATTTAACTTTCATTGTTCTGAAAATTACTTGCATCTACATATTTTGTAAATTTAACAGAAGAGTGTACAACATTAACAACTTAAAGTTTGTCTTTGAATTTAAATCTGAAGTTAAGTTTTTCTTATCCTTTATATAGCAGCCTTGTCTTTTTTTTTTATCATCTTTACATTTATTATGCCCTAGAAGTAAAAACAAAAACAAAAAAAGGAGTCATATCATATAAAGGAAAAAAGGAGTAGATGCTTTCTGCACTTCAGAAATATTAAAGTTGCTTTAAATACTTTCAATAGAACTCCAGTGGAACCTGTGTGTTAGAACGGTACAGAATTGCCGAATCAGACGGTTTCCAGTATTTCATTAGTAATAGTGTTCTCAGGAGAGATCTTGTGATAGAGCTATCAGCATAGTTTCAGCATGTTCTCTGAAATACTTCACCCTCAGGCCCCTAAATTCAAGGGGAAAATAATAGAATTTTCTTTTATAGAGTACAGAAAAGCAGCATAAAGGTATCTAGTTAGAATAACACAGGACGAGGTGACAGGGAACTGCTGCATTTTAGCTTGGGCTCTGATATTCTAAACAAAGAATTCAGTATTTCCAGGTTTTAAGTTCCTCATCTGTAAACATGAAGATAATAATCCTTATGTCATAGAGTATCTTAAATGACTAAAATGAAAATATTTGATATAAAAATGTTATGAAATGCAAAAAGAAAGAAAAAAATTGTTGAGAACTCAATATATGCCAGATATTATATTCATAGCTGGGGCTCTGAAGAGCTACTTTCGGTCCAAAATTCTACCACACTAAAATTTTAAATCAAATCATCAATAAAAATGATTTTAATAATCCATATTTCATTCTAAAACAAACTCTTAATTTTAATACATTTTAAGTGTTGCTATTACAAAATCTCAAAAGCAGAGTAAATCAACAATGGAAAATAAAAATACTTTCTATGAATATTTCACTTGAAATGTGTCTTGTTGGCACACTAATAATTCATAATAAAAAGAAACTGGATAATGTTTTACATTTTCCAAAATAGTTTTGAAAGGGGACCCTAAAGTAGATATAATGAGTTAAATAAGCATACAATTTAAAATTTAACAATATAAAAGTCTGACCCAATGAACTTGTATTCACATATGCATAACCCATGGACACAGACAAAGGGCTGGTGAGGGCCTGGGGTGGGGAGGACTGGAGCGGGCTGGAAGAGGTTAATGGGGGGAAAAGGAGGATCTATGTATCACTTCAACAAAGATTTAAAAAATAAATAAGTAAAAAATGAAAGTCTGACCCATTGCTATATTTTTACTGTTTACAGACTATTTTGTGGATAAAGAGTAAATAATTGGATACAATATTTTAAAACATTCTGTAGACAAAGCTTCCTCAAACAGAAATTTAATCCAAAATATTACCATGGAGGGGGGATTAAATACATTAGAATATGCTAAAGGACACTCAGCTTTTACTAAAAATAAGATTCAGTAAGATCAAGGAAATAAATATTATAGATTATAAGCTTCAGCTGTTAAAATTAGAAAACTAAGAACCACATAAGATATTTTTTTTCTAGTAGCAATATATGTAATCTTCATATTTATTTTTTATTTATTTTTAAATTTTATTTTATTGCTTAAAGTATTACAAAGAGTAGTACATATGTCTCCTTTTTAAGAGTAGTCTTATTACAATATAAATATCATAAGAGTTTAACAAATGTTTTAATAATGTATTTTACTATTTTCACACACATATACATACAAATATTTAGAAAGAATCCATATCATCTTCTGTTTTTAGATGACAAGAAAAGTCTGATGTCACAGTCTTTTGTTTGAACTTATATAGAAATAACTTGAAAATAGTTAAGACAAATTTTTAATCATTTTGGTGTATGACTGGGTCCAGTTTTATTTTCAGTAGTTTTTTATCATTTATTTTTAAAAATATTAGCTCATTATGAGAAAAATTTAAAAGTAATACTTGACCCTTAAGAGTCTAGTTAAAACATACATGGCATATATATGTACTTATAAAATAAATATCTAAGCAATAATAAATATTTTGTTCCTTAAATGAGGTAGATAAGTTAAAATATTCTGGAACATGACCTACCCATTAAAAAAGAAAGAAAATAGTAATCACCAATTCAATCTGTATAAATCAGATAGCTGGATAGTTTTTTATTTTTAACACATTTACCATATTTTTCAAGTACAGGCCTCTGAAATACATTTCTACTTTCCAAAAGCTTGCTAAATTTAAATTCAGCTTTTTCATTTACTTAATCATTATTTAATCTACGTAGGGAATTTTACCAGACATTTGCAAGTAAACCAAATGTACTAATTTTTCATTTTTTATGTTTGTGGTATTTTCCCTTTACATACCTCATATAGAAAAATATATCAGGAAAAGGTATTAGTCTTCAGTTGTTGTGAAATAAATAATTAATTACTTAAGTGATAAAGAGTTAATAAAAATTTCAAGGTCTGCTAAAGAATTATGAAGCCCATCATTCAGATCTTGACTTCTAAGAAAATTTTTAAGAGTAGCTAAAGCAGTTATTGCCTCATTTTTCGAGGGTAAAGGAAGTTCAGTTCCCAGAGACCCCCCATCCTCCTCTTCATCAGAAGTATAAAATCCAGTTTCATCTGATTTACTTTCTTTGGTCCAGACCCTATCACCACTTGGCGCTGCGTCACATGTCTCCAAGTCATCGTCCAGGGCGGCATACTCTTCGATAGATAAACTTCCGGAAACTCCACTCCCGCTGCTTGGGCGTGGGCAACCAAATCAAGACCAGTGTTGGACTCTGTATTCGTCTTGTCGCTTTCTCCCTGTTGAGATTTGAATCCTGCCTCTTCATAGCTCTTAGCAATAGTCTCTGGGGTTACAGCCCTCCAACAGAGATGCAATGTGTCAACTGCATCTAGCAGGGAAAATGTAAATTCTCTGCTGCCTTCAACAGAACTTAAGAATTTCTTGATAAGACAATGTCGATATTTGATTTTAAGGCTTTTAATAACACCTTGTTTCATAGCTATAAATTTGGGAGACAAACATGATGGGAAAAATGCTAACTCAATGGACTTCAGGTTCTTTACCTCTGGGTGTGCAGGAAGAGCATCAACAAAAATCACAACTCTTCGTTGTTGGGCTTGAAATTTCTCATCAAGCTTCTGCATCCACTGTTCAAATATATCTGAGGTCATCCATGCCATTCTGTTAGCTTCATAATACACAGGCAACGATTTTATTCCTTTGAAACAATGTGGATTTCTGTTTTTCCCAATGATAAGCAAAGGAAGTTTTTCGGAGCCATCCATGTTCGTCCCGACCACCAGGGTTATTCTGTCTTTGCATAACTTTCCAATTGAGCATGTTTCTCCTTTAAATGCAAATGTATTTGTAGGTAACATTCGATAAAGCAGTCCAGTCTCTTTTATATTAAAAACATTTTTAGGATGATAATCATTTAAATAATAAGGAAGTACGTTTTGGTGCCACACCGCTGAAGGGTCAACTGATACCCCTGTAGCTTCTACAGATTGAGCTCTGAATACTAAACCATACCTGGATTTAAAGCGATCCAGCCAACCATTACTACACTTAAAATCATTATGTCCCAGTTTCTGGGCAAAATCATTTGCTTTTAGACGCAACATTGGACCATTAACTGGTACATTTAGACACTGAGCAATTCGGTACCACCTCATTAGTGCCTCTTCCAGATCTGTGTAGAAAGCAGTTCTCAGTCTTTTTCTCTTTGGATCAAATCTCAGAGATTCAAAGGCTTCTAGAACTTTGTCTTTATTCTTCATAATAGAGGACAATGAATTTTTCTTTATTCCATATTCAGCTGCAATCTCTGCTTTTTTCTTGCCACTTTCTACTGCATTTATGATGTCAATCTTTTCTTCAATGGATAAACTTTTCTTCTTTTTCACTGTTACGGGGAGAGTTGAGGCATCTGCAGAAGCTTCTGCCATCTCAACCAGCACTTATATAGAGATTTCTCCTCTTCCTGGTGTCTGTTTCTTTAATTAAATGTCTTTTCCTGTATGACACAATTTGCTGCTTTCTCTCCCACTTCGTACATTACAAGTTGGTAAGCGTATAATAGTCTTATTCCTATTGATGACTAAATAAATATTTTTCAAAGGATCTAAATAAGAAAAAATGTTATTTGCAACTAGAATAGTTTAGAAGAAAAACTTCCTTCCCAGGACCTTGTGTAGCTCAGTTTATAGTTTATTCAGAGTTTTAGAAGTCAAACTAAAATAAAAATCTCATTATCTCAAACCTGTCCAGTCCTGCTGATATATTTTTGGAACTTCAATCCTTTAAGACGGTTCACTTTATCCATTTGCTCATTCAACCTCCTATTAATTCTCCACAGAAGGCCTCAGAGATAAGAACAAGTAGCATTTAGAAATTTTCATGCAAAATGTTACCCATTAATTTCCAAGTCTCTTCAGGGTAGAGAAGGAAATGGTAGAATCCTTAGGGCTTGACAGTATACCTTCTGTCTCTTGAAAATACAAAAACAAACAAAACAGCATTTTTAGCAATATGTCAAATGAATATGAAAAATATTTACACGAATAAGTTATGCTTTTAATAATAAAAAAGAATGGGAACATGTTTCTGAAAATACAATAGCCAAAGCAGGAGAAATGCTTACCTTCTGAAGAGCCTCTGTAGAATGCTCTCTAGCTCTGCTCTGTGCATTTGAATTTTCACTTGCCTTTGAATGCTTTGTAATATATACTTCTGAAATAAACCAGACAAATTTAATCTGTTTTGAAAATGTGGGCTGACCAAAATTAAAGAACTAAAAATGATGCTGGATATATCTTTGGTGGCTATTTTTTACATGAAGTCACAGACTGCCCCCTCTGACTTCTCTAAAAGAAAAACATAGTCAGACAGTAGTCACAAGATCCAACTTTTAATAGCACATGAGAGACAGTGTCTCCTTTATGGGAATCTGGTAGAAAATGCTTCACTAAAAATCCAATCAAGTGAATTCATTACATAGTTTTAAAATCTAAATCTTATTCTATCTAAATGTATCAATTAAAAGTTTGTATCAATTTGATGCATTAGCCAGATGCACAGAGGCCAGAAATACTTGACAAAATGCATAGGAATAAACAAATTATTAGAGGATATAAGGCAGAAAAAGACCTAGACTATGAAGGAGAGTGACCATAGGTCTTAGTCTCTCTACTTCCCTTATCTGTAAAATAAAGGGCTTATCATAGTGTAAAGATATGGGCTTTGGTGCCAGGCACATTTGAATTGACAAATGACTCTGCCATTTAGTACTTATGTGATCATGGGTAGTTTACTTAATTTGACCTCAGTTTTCTTACTTGTAAAATAGGGGTTAACTATAGCATCTGCCTCAGAGGATTATTGCACTTTCAATGGGATTCAATGTAAGAGTGTAAAGCACTTAGCAGAATATTTAGTACCTGTCGAGTAACACTTCCTCCACGTTCTGCGTGGAGTAGGGTTTGGTACCTGAAAGAGGAGCCGCACAACAAATGAGAAAAAAAAGACACGAGATAATTTTGCAATATTGGAGGACCAGGCGGGCAAGTCCCGAAGGACTTCCACCCATGCTCAGGCTGCTCCAATCTTTTATTGATCTGGAGTAGCCCTTAGGGTAAGGAAGTTTCAATGACACACAGATCAGCAGACAATTTCCAGGAGTAGACAAAAGTATCTGATTAACTCATCAATAGATTTCCGAGTGTAGGCAGAGTATCTGATTAACAATAATCAACAAGGATCTACATAAGTATCTAAGGAATTAAGGGAACTAAGGTGGGGATGCTTCAACTATTATTACCTAAATTAACTGAGTGGTTCCTAGATTAACTGGGTGGTGCACAGCCCTGACCTTTGCTAGGACTTTCAATGGCTACTAGCTTTTGGGGGGGTCTCTGTCTAAACTCAGCTAGTGAAGACAATGAATGGACTCTGGCAAGTACCTTAGGAGATATTCAGTAAGTGTGTGGTGATGATCTCATCATCCTTATCTTTTCTAAAATGTCACTTTTGTTGTGTCAGTCTATAAAATTCAAGATTTTACAATACGGGTATTGGCAAAAGTAGGTTTATAGTTTATTTTTGTATTATTATTTATGAATTAATTATTGTATTATTTGTCTTTTTCCCCTGTGAATAACTAGAAACCTACTTTTGCCCACCCTGTAGATACTGAAAGCAAAGTTTCTTAAACCAAAGAGTACTTAATCTATAGGCTTTAGAACTACTGCAGACTAAGATAACAAGCTAATTTGATATGCAGGTGTTACGCTGTATGAAATAGTGCGGGTGCTCCATTTCTCTTGTTTTTCTCCCTGTCCTTCTCAGTTTCAAGTGGCACATGCATATTTTTTTTGCACAAAATTTTTTGAAAAAACTTTTTGTCAAAATTCCTCTGCTTTTGTTATCCAAATCAAGAAATAATTTTTATCATAGGAGTTACAACCAGTTAAGGAGTTTATCATTGTTGTTATTTGCAAGAAAAATCTTAATAATAATTATGATAGCCTAGGCTTTAATTTCCAAACTGCTTTACTTCCTATATTTCAAACAACTCAGGAGTAAGGTCAAACTGGATTTCAAAGCTCATCCTATATAATAAAAGGCTAATATGCAAATAGACTGAATGGCGGAACAACCGAACAACCAGTCACTATGACTGCGCTCACCACCAAGGGCGCGCGCGGAACACGGCAGGTGTTGGCAGCAGGCGGCAGAGCGTGGAACATGGCAGGTGTCGGCCACAGTGGGATGGTGGAGCAGGTGAGCAGGGGCACCAGACCAAGGCAGGGCGCCAGTCGCCGTCATCGGGGCAAGCCTCTGGTGGTTACTGAAAATTCTTTGCTCCCGTGCACCACAGTCCCGCCCGGCGCTCACACCCGCTGCTGGTGCCCAGCGCCGGTCCCAATCTCAGGGCACCATCAGCAGGTCGAGCAGCAGCTGCCGGCCTCGATTGTCCCGCAGGGCTGCTGGCAGACAGGGGGCTGGGGGCTGTGGTGGGAGGGGCCAGGTGGGGGCGCAAAGGATGGGCTGAGACCCACCCATGCCCACCGCACGCAGCCTTGCAGCCCACAGTTCCTTTCAAGGTGCATGAATTTGTGCACTGGGCCCCTAGTCCTAATATATATAAAGAGCTAGGTGCCATCATGACTGCACAGGCGAATGGTCACCATGAAGTGCATGGAGCACCTCTCGGTCACCCCCCCTCTCCTGACCCCCAGGCCATTTACCATGAGGGGGAGGCTGGCAGTGAGGCAGGACTGGGGACTGTTGAGCAGCAGTGGTGGGCTACTTCATGGGGTGGCCGTGAGCTTAGCGGAGCAGTCACCCAGGTGGCAGCGAGTTTTGAGAAGCAGTCGCAGGGCAGGGGAGTATCGTGGAGCAGTCGCGGGGTTGGGGGAGCCTCGCGGAGCAGTGGTGGGGCGCGGGGAGTTTCGGAGCATCCAGCGGTGAGTTTTGCGGGGGCGGCAGCAAGCTTCACGGAGCAGTCCAGTGCGGGGGGGGAGCCTCGGGGAGCAGTGGAGGGGCTGTGAGCATCGCGGAGTGTCCTGGGGCAGGGAGCTTCACATAGTGTCACAGGGCCGCAGAGGCCATGCGATGGAGGCCAGGCTAGGCCTAGGGACTCTAACCGTGCACGATTTTGTGTGTGCTGGGCCTCTAGTATAGTTATAATGTGGTTGAGTGCAGTCGGAATCCAGGCTTTCTAATGTCAAGTCTACCATTCTTTTCACTATAGTACAGTGTCCTTGAACCATACTGGTGTGGCCTCCTCTGATAATAGTTACACATTCTATACCCCCAGCACAAAGCCAAAGTCAGCATTTCCAATGCCTATCCAAACCTAACAACAACAAAAGCAATATCAAACCTCCATAGAAGAACAGGCCATTATGAATTCTGTGAACACAAATAGCAACTGAGGGAAGGATAACTTTTGTAAGTAAATAAGATTTTACCATTCAACTAAAAGAAATTTTTTTCTCATATATTGGCTCTCCTGTATGTTTTTGTGCAATTTCCTATACATTTATAGTTTCAAAGTAAAAATTTATGAATATCTTTTTCTTATTAGGAAGATGCCAACCGTTAGAAATTGAGGTAGTAAGAACCAATTTTTATGTAAAGACAAAACCAAGCAAAACTATTATTCAATCTCCCAACTTTTCTCATTTCTTCCTTTTTTCTTCTTTTCTTTATCCCTCCTTTTTTCCTTCTACCTTATTTCATTTGTCAGAAAGAAACCCTATTATCTCAAATCACAAGGATTAAAGAAAAAGTAATTTGAATTTCCTCCCTTACCACATCCCAAATAAAGCAATATAATATACATAATCAGAGATTACTTGTCATCTTGATCAAATTGAAAAGTGATATGTTGCCCAGCTGGTGTGGCTCAGGAGTTGAGCGTTTACCCAGGAACCAAGAGGTCACCAGTTGGATTCCCTGTCAGTTGTGGGCTCCATCCCTTGTGGGGGCCATGCAGGAAGCAACCAATCAATGATTCTTTATCATCATTGATGTTTCTCTCTAACCCTCTTCCTTCCTCTCTCTCTAAAAAAAAATAATAAAAATATTTTTAAAAAAGAAAAATGATATGTTTATTTAGGAAGATATTAGTTATTTTTTCTGATAGGTAATAGCACATATTTCCTTATAAAACAGTAGTAGAAGCTATAATTTTCCCTGGTAAGATACAATATATCTTTATTCTTGAAATAACCACATTTCTAATCAGACAAGCTAGATTTCTTTTCCCTAGAAAAGAACAGAGCATCTACTGTCTAATCAAGAAGCTGACATTTTCTATTCTCCCACAATATTACGTTTGGGTGTGTGGCAGCAGCTAATATTTCTCAGAAGTACTCATTCTCTCAATTAAGCTCATTAATCATTCTACCCTTAAAAATATTACAGCAGAAAAATGCTGTACTACATGTTAGGAACTATTTTATCTATGTCAATAATAAAGCTAACTAAAGAATAAAAATAGG